CCCCAGAACTCAGCCCCCGTCCCCAGAACTCAACCCCATCAGCCGGGGGGCTGGGAAGTGACCCCGCGCTCCCATTTCCCACCCTGCCGGGAGACGCCTCCCGGCCTGCCCGGCTCCAGGGGGGCAGCGGGGCCCCGGACCCCCCCGGCACTGACCTTGCTGGCCGGGCAGCGCCTGCGGCTCGGGATTGAGGCTCTGGAGGTAACTGTGGCAGCGCTCCTTGTGCTCCTCCAACGTGCTCTGCTGTTTGTAGCTCCGGCCGCAGTAGTTGCACTTGTAGGGTTTGCCGACGGTGGGGGAGGAGACTGGAAGAGGAAAAGGAGAGCCCGGATGTGAGCAGGGGATGGAGCCGGGATGGAGGGACCGGGGAGGGGCTGGATGCGGCTCCGCGGGGGGAACAGCGGCAGGAACCGGGAACGGGGGAGAAAAACGGGAGGAGCCGGTCAAGGCGGGGCAAGAGCCGTGGGGATCGATTGACGGGGGAGAAAAAGGGCAAAATCGATCAGCGGGGGAGAAAACTGGCGGGGATTGGCCAGTAGGGGAGAAAAAGCAAAAGGAATTGGTCAGTGGGGGAGAAAAGCAAAAGGAATTGGTCAGTGGGGGAGAAAAGCAAAAGGAATTGGTCAGTGGGGGAGAAAAGCAGCAGGGGCCGGTCAACGGGGAGAAAACTGGCAGGAATTGGTCAATGGGGGAGAAAAAAGCATCAGAAATTGGTCAGTGGGGGAGAAAAGGAACAGGAATCGGTCAGTGGGGGAGAAAAGGAACAGGTCAGCAGCGGGGCTGAGCCCCTGGCCCTCAGCCCCCCGCCCATCCCTGTGCCACAGGTAAAGGAGCTCCTGGCGTGTCTCCAGCAGCATTTTCCAGAGGTGGGGCAGCTCCTGGCTCCCACTGCAGCCTTCCTCCTCACCATCACCTGCCCCTCAGTGATTCCCCCCCTCCCCAGCAGCAGGAGCAGGGCTAGGTGCTCCCGGACTTTGGTTCAGCCCCGGGATCTCACCTCCCCAGAAAGCTGGACACCCCGGGGCAGAGCCGTGCCCGCTGGGGTGGGAGGCTGGCTCAGCAGTGGGGAAATGCCCCAAATCTGCTGGTTTTGCTGGAATCTGGTGCTAGGGATGTCACTGTCCCACACCGCCCACAGCACGCCCGGCATGGAGCTCGGGGAGGGAGGGATGTGCTGTTCCTGTCACATTTACGGGGTGTTTGGGGTTTTTTTTGGCAGCTCGTGGTTTGACCTTCAAGTGATTTTTTAAAAACACGCGTTGGGGCTGTCAGTGAACCTGCACTCACCCTGGGACACCTGGATCCGTGTGGAAAGCGGGATCAGCACCTCCCCAGGAGCCAGGTCCTGTCCCAAACCCCCAGGCTGGGCAGGGACCCCAATGGCCACGCACTGCCCTGGCCTGGGGATCCTGGAGTCCAGGAGCAGCCCTGGATTTCCCCAGCAGAGCTCCGGGTTGGAAATCAATCCAGAGGAGCCGATGACAAGTGCGAATCCTGCCCTGGGCACCAGCATTGTCTCGGGGCAGCTGAACATGGGTTTCCTCCATCCCAAGGGAGGAGAGGAGGGCCCTGGCCTCTGAGCACCAGCACAAAAATGTGCCTCAGGAATCAATTCCCCAAAGCCAGCAATTCGGATGCGAGTGACTCGACTCCAAATTCCATTATTCCCATTAATCCCCATCACTCGAGGAGCTTTTAAAGTTTAAACATTCCCTCAAATGGCTCAGATTTGTTACTCCAAAACAACTGTGCTTCCCCACGCTCCCCTGATGGGATTGGGGTTGGTTTTCCACACCAGAAGACTCCCCATGGATACCTCAGAGGCATTTCCTAGGGATAATAAAAGAGCAGGGAGCAGCAGGACAAGGGGGGAATGGCTTCCCACTGACAGAGGGCGGGGGTAGGTGGGATGTAGGTAAGAAATTCCTCCCTGTGAGGATGGTAGGCACTGGAATGGATTTCCATGACAAACAGGATCCTCAGGATCCCACCCCCGGGGTGCAGGGAGGACTCTGGGATGTGGCAGATGGACAGATGTCCATCTGTCATCCAAAGCCAGTGAGACGCCTCCCAGGGGGCTGTTTAGGATCCCTGGGGTTCTTCACCCAAAAAGTTCTTCACAGAGCCCAGGGCTGACCCTAAGCCCTGGAATCTGGGCCCTTCCCAAGGTTTTCTCTGGCCCTGCAGAGCCAGAGAGCCCCAGGTTGGTTTATTTGTGGGCTGGGACAGGAGGCAGGGAGTGGTCTCGGGGGAGCTCCAGCTCCCTGCACTGGAGGGGTGGGGGCTGCAGCCTCTGATCTATTTTGGAGCATCGCAGCCCCTTTGATCTGGATGTTAATCCCTCACTTTTTTGGGCAGCACATCCTTGGAGATGAAAGGCTCAGGCCTGTGGGTAAGGAGGGAGAGCTGAACCCCCTGTGCTGCCACCCAGCAGGGCAGTGCCTCTGAAATCCACAGCAAATTAAGGCTGTTCTTAGTAATTAGCTCCCATAAAGCCTAATTTTTGCTTGATATGATGTGAGGGTTTGTCCCATTTCCATGTCTCCTGATGGAAGGACTCCAGAGGACCAGAAGTGTTTACACCAAGCAGCAGCTTTGTCCCTTGGCAGTGGGAATATCCAGGGATGGACTATCCTGGATGGGGCAGGTCTGGGGGCTCCTGGTGCCAACAGGTTCTTCAGGGAAAGGTTCCTTGCTCCAACAAAGCCCCTGACACTCATTTCCACGCAGCCTCTAAAGGTCCTGGGGCCGCAGGTGCTCGAACACCTGAGAGTGCTGTAAAGCCCTGGTGGTGCCCAAATCCAGGGAAAATGGTGCCAAATGGGGACATGGCATCCTGCCCTCCCCCCATGGCCCTGCCCCTGGCATCCTGCCCTCCCCCCTTCTTACATCACGGAACTGGAGGGTGGAAACTGCAGCTCAAATGTCATCTTCAAAAAGGACAATGTCAAAACACGACATGAACCAACCCCCTGGTGCTGGTTTCCACCACACCCACGGGTGGGACCTGTCTTAACTCAATAAAATCATTTAAACACTTATCTGTTGGAAGAAACTGGACCAGCCCTGTGGGCACCTCTCTGGTCAGCAAGTCCCTGACTCTGACACGTCCTCTGCCTTCAGCTCCACACTGTGCAGAGCAAGTTTGGTCGGGAGCTCAAGGCTGGTGATTGTGAACCTTCCAGGGAAGGGTCAGGCTGGAATTTCTGCATGGAAAGGGTGCTCAGGCATTAGAAGGGGCTGCCCAGGGAGGTGGTGGAGTTCCCATCCCCGGAGGTGTCCAAGGAAGGCCTGGACGTGGCACTCAGTGCTCCGGGCTGGGTCGGGCACAGCTTGGACTCGATGGTCTTGGAGGTCCTTTCCAACCTCAGTGATTCTCCAGCCCAAATCCCTGGTTCTGCAGCATCCTCCTGTGTTCCCTCCCCTGTTCCCTCCCCTGTTCCCTCCCCTGCCCCTGCCAGCCCTCGGGACCCACCGGAATGCGTGCGGAGGTGGCCGGTGAGCGCGTCCCGCCGGCGACAGGCGTAGTTGCAGAAGGGACATTTGAAGGGCTTCTCGCCCGAGTGCAGCTTGATGTGGCGCAGGAGGTTTCCCTTCTGGGTGAAGGAGGCCCCGCACTGGTTGCAGTGGAAGGGCCTTTCTCCTGAAAAACCGGAGCAGGGGGTGAAACTCCTGCTGAGAAGTGTTTCCCGAGCCCACGGCCCCGCAGAGCGGGAGCGTCCCCAGGTTCCCACAGGCTGGAGAGCCCTGGGTCAGCCACCAATGGGATCCAGACGTGGCCCCAACCCGGGGAGGGACAGATCTGCTGCTGGAGTGGGGACAGTGATGGGGAAAGACCAGCCACAGGCACTTTCCTGGGCTTTTCCTCACCAGCACCTTCTGGCCACCACCCCCAGCAAAAGAGAGTAAGGTAAGGTGGGATATTGGGAGGAAATTCCTCCCTGTTAGGGTGGTGAGGCACTGGAATGGATTTTCCAGAGGATGCCCCATCCCTGGAAGTGTCCAAGGCCAGGCTGGACGGGGCTTGGAGCAACCTGGGCTAGTGGAAGGTGTCCCTGCCCAGGGCAGGGGGTGGAACAAGATGATCTTTAAGGTCCATCCCAACTCGAATCCTCATGGGATTCCACGATTCAATCCCTGGGGTCAGCACCTGGACCTGCCAGCCCTCTGCCACGGCACCTGTGGCCACCAGCCCACGCCCCCAGGCCACCAGAGTCCCCCCTGCCCCGGAGCTCACCGGTGTGGCTGCGCTTGTGCACCATGAGCACGTTGGGGCCGATGCAGACCATGCCGCAGACGTCGCACTTCAGCTTCCCGTTGGGAAGGCGGATCCCCCCGGGGGAGTGCGGCTCCGGGCCCGCCCCGTCGCAGTAGCCCAGGGGCTCCGAGAGCGAGTCCTCCACGATGACACTGTCCTCCTTCTCCAGCATCCGCTCGTCCTGCGACAGCAGCCGGCTGGACTCCTCGTCGCTGTACATCTCCACCTTGATGGAGTTGGCTGCGGGGAGGAGAGGGGACGGCACGGGTCAGGGCAGGAAAACCTCCCAGCGCCGGGAGAATTCCCCCAGTTCAGGTGGGAACTGCTCCTGAAAGAAACACCGACGTGCTGGGTGATTTATCTGTGGCCAGTCTGCACCTCCCGGGCTCCTCGGGAACAGATCCCACACGGAGCACGCGAGGGGACCCAAGGTCTGCACACCTGGAGATCTCCACTCCCCATCCCGAGGGAAAAGACACTGAACTCCCTGGATTCCAGGGCAAGCAAAGACACCAAATCTTCAGTCCCGGAATCAGTAAAGGCTCAAACTCGCCGGCACAAAGAGCTGAGCACGAGTTCCTTGGGCAGTGAGGAAACCTGGGCTCCCCAGGACAGCCATGGCTTCACTGACAGCTTCCACCTCTGGCATCCAAAGTCAGGAAAAAGGAGCTGAGCAGCAGGTGCTGCCTGGGAACACCCTTTCCCTCTTCCCTTTCCCTCGTCCCATGAAGAGAACGGGGCCACACATGGAGGGACAGACATGGAAAACCCCTGGAAAGATGTGGAAGGGGATGTGAGAGATGCCAGGGACCAGGGAGAGGTCCCACAGCCAAGGGCTGGTGGCTGCCAGGAGCATTTATATCCTAGATGGGAGCAGGGGCTGCTGGAGCTGTGCTGGATAAGCCCACCCTCCAGACACCGGAGGGGCAGCATGGGGGTCTCCCCACTGCAGCAGAGCCCCAGGATTTCCCTCCTCACCACCACCTTTCCCTCCTCCTGCAGCACCAGGATGGAGGGGATGCACCAGTCCTGACCTACATTCCCGACTGCTCTAATGATCTGTGGAATGCCACAAATCAAACACTCCCGAGCCCACTCCCTCCTCACTCCCTCCTCCCTGCCAGGGAGCCGGGATGGGAAGGACAGGGAGAAACTCTCCCTCTCCTCCTTCCCAACGAACTTCTCCACCCTGATCCCACACACTTCCTCCCTCAGCCAGGTATCCACGTGGTTGTCCCACCTCTCCATGCAGCTGCACCCCTGCCTGAGGGAAAAGACACCAGGCTGGAGATCCAGGCTTGAAATGATCAGATTGGGAAGTTTCCTCCCATTTTAAGCAGCTGGGAGCAAGAGGGAATTCCCTGGGGAGGCTCCCCAGCTGATGGCACCTGCGACCTGCTCCGGTAGCACTGGTCCTGGCAGGCTGGAGGAGGAGGATGATGGAGCAAAGTGGAATCCAGGTCACCCACAGGCACTGAGCCCAAGGCTTCAGCTAAATATTTCCAGAATTCCTCTAAGGATCAGATTCTTATTTCCTCCTCCTAAAGCAGCAAGCTCTTCCCAATCCCTTGAGAGGGGAACGGCGGGGCTGGAGGGACAGAGTGCCGCCCGCCCAAGGAGAGGTGGCTTCCCGGAGGGCAGGAGCTGGAGGAGCCCGAGCTGCCTCGTGGAGAACAGAGCACAGCCCCAGGATTCCCAGTGGTTCCCAAATCTGGAGCTGACGTGTCCCCGGAGGGGTTCAGCTCCTGTCAGAGTGTGGGTTCTCACCCACAGCCCGAGGACGCCCACGGGACCGGCTGAGGGGACTCGAGAGAACCTCGGGAACATCCCAGGTACGGGACCACCCGGGGGTCCCTTTAAAAGCTGGGGGGCCCTGGACAAACCCTGGCATGGCCGGGGCAGGGAAGACCCTTTGCTGGGTCGCTTACCGGGCCAGGCGGGCGCTGGAGAGCGGAGCTGCTGGAGCAGGACAGGACGGTCCCGGGGCCGTGGGACCCCCGGAATGGCGCAGCCCCCGGGGAGCCCGGCCAGCTCCCGTCCCCGGAGCCAGGTACAGCCCTGCAAGTGGGGATTACCGAGGAGCAGCAGCATGGAAGTGATTCATCCGAGGCTGCCTGGGGTTTATTGCCGGGTGAAGAGCCCAGGAATTCCGGCTCTGGCTCCTTCCCTCCCTGGATCCTCCCGGCACAGACAATGCTGCTTCCCCGAGGGGCTCCGGGCAACGCCGGTCCTGGAGGTCCCAGGCGCTCCCAGGCCGCGTGCTGAGCCCCTGGATGGGAGGAGGCTGGGAGGAGGCTGTGCCTGGAGCATTCCCGGGGGGAAGCAGGACTTTATCCGGTGCCACCACGCTCCCCTGGGAGCACCAGGAGCTGCCTCCGTGCGCAGACACGGAGTGAAAAGCTCCTCGCTCCGAGCCGGAGCTGCTGGGACGAGCTGACGTTTGTGGTTGGGTTTTGTTGGGGTTTTTTTTCTTTCCTCTCCCATTCCCCCAGGGACTAATTTTTTCCTGGGCATAGAAGAGAGGCCAAGTATTGTTCTGTAATTCTCCTTTCAGATCCAACGCGGGGTCCGGGAGAAGTCTCTGCTGGCAGAACAGGTTATATAATATCCCTGCTCCTCTGGGCACGGCGCTCGCTGGATGAACCAGCTGTGAAGTCAAGTCAGATCAGAGGCAATGCCATCACCCGGGTCCTGCTGTTAAAGGGGAAGGGATCGGGATTTTCCGCATGTTCAATATTCCTTTGGCTTCCCAGCGAGCAAAAAGGCCGCGTTACCCCCGGGAATGCCAAGATCTCGTCCCCGTGAGGAGCTTCCATGTGCTTTAGAGCACAAATGTAAGATAAATAACGAGTAATAAGAGTGAGAACTGGCAACAGAGCTAATTCTGAGCGTTATCCTCCCAAAATTGTGGTGTTTGGGGTTTCTTTTATCCCGGTTCAGGAAGAACAACCAGCAAACGCCACGACCTCACCGGATAAAGGACGGGGAGTTCCTCTGCCAGGGAAAAGTGATGTGCAATGACAGCTGGAAGTGGGAGAGAGGAAGGATCAGAGCCGGGCCAGGTGTTTTGGGGCTGGTTGGGCTCATCCAGAGATGGAGCAACTGTTGGATTGTGAATACCGGGAGAGCAACGGGAGCGTGGGGGACGGAGCCACAGCTCGGGGACGGGACCTGCCTGACGGGGGAGGCTCCCACACAGAACCTGAACCACAGTTTTGTTCATTTTAACTAAAAAGTGAGAGTTCCAGAGTGGGCAGGGAAGGAGGCAGAGAGTTCCATGGTGTGAGAGGAGACTCCCCACACTAACCCCATTTCTGGATCCCTGTGGGTCACCAGCTCAGCTCACACCACTCAGTCAGGGACACAACAGCCCGTCCGGGAGCTGATTCCAGCACCCCGTGGCATTCCTGGCGTATCCAAAGGATCCCAGGGCCTCTCTGAATCCACTGCAGTGACACAAATAACTTCCCAACAGCCTCATTCCCACTGAGGCCAAGCCCTGCTGTGTGAGCTGCTCCGACCCGCCCCGGCTCCCACACAGGAGGAAGCAGTTCCTCGTTTCCCACACTGCCATCCCGATGGATACAAAACACAGCTCATTCCAGAGAAACCCACAGCCCCTCAGAGCCGATCCCTGACAGCATGGAACACACTTCTTGTGGAGGTGGAATTCAGGACCACAAGGAAAGACTCTGAATCCTCCACCCCCGGCCGAGGTTTTTCCACCCCTCAACATCGGTTTTTCCACAAAAAAACCCCGGCTCAGCAGCAGCCAGTTCCTGGGATCAGTGCCCGGGACCTGACACCGGGATCAGGGACCAGGCAGCTGCTCCACACGCAGCCCAAAGCCGGGTTTATCCCCTTCCCTCGGAAAACAAAGAGTCAGACTGGGAGCGAAATCTGTCCCAGCGGGAAGTCAGAATTCCTGGCGGAGCGCAGGGGTTGGGAAGGCGGGTCGGGATACGGGATACTCACCGCTGAGGGAGCGGCTCGGGGAGGAGTGCTGGCTGTTGGGGGTGCTCACCGTGGGGCCCACGATCGCCGAGGTGAATTCCTTCTCCAGGGAGGAATCCCCGCTGCCTTTGGGAGGAGGGAAGCACGAGTGAGAGGCCGGTGGGAATCCCCCCCCGAGCCCCCTGCCCGGCCCCTCGGCTTTGGGAAGGGGCTGGAGGGCAGGGATTTACTCCCGTGGTATTAGGCTGGGTGCATTTTGGATTCCAGCCCTCCAGCTGGGAGCTTCCCAAGCCCCACATCCCGGAGCCGACGGCAGTGCCGAGGTGTCCATCCGAGGGGGGACCAGACCACCCCCCGCCCAAGCACCACCCCCAGGACCTGTCCCTTCACCAGCACTGGGATCCCGCTCCACGACAATTCCCAAGCAGGCACTCACATCCCTGGGAAGCCAATCCCTCCCCACTTGGCCACAGGCCCTTCCCCGCTCACACCAGCCCACGAATTCCCTGACACAGCTGTCCACGGATCCCCTCGGCTTTTCCCCTCCGGGGGCTGCCCAGGGCCTGTTCCAGCGATCCCAGCAATCCCTGGAGCCCCCCCAGCAGCCCCGGAGCCAGGCCATGCTGCGGGAACGGCGGAGTTTCATGATGGAAAGTGCAGCAGCTCCCCGAGCACAGCTGGGAATGTTATTTCTAAACACTGGCAGCTGGAAAACTCTCCTCTCCCTGTTCCCCGAGCCCGGCTGGTCCCATTGTCTGGTGCCTGTTGGGAGGCTGAGCTCATCGGCCTCGCCGAGCATGGGAATCGCTCCTGGGAAGTGCCCCTGGAGAGCCCGGGACACCCAGCCTGGCCTCGGCTCCCAGAGGAGGGATTTAAAGGTTCCTTCCCTCCCGGGATGACGGTGGGAGAGACTTGGAGCACCCTTCCCTCTCCCCTGCCCGTGCTCCAGAGAGGCTGGAGAGCTGCTGCCAGTGACTCTGAGCCTGGTGGAGCCTCCGATGATGCCCAGAGGGAATGAGTCCCTGCATTCCAGCACCTCTAATTCCCTTCCTGGAGCCAATGAGTCCCTGCATTCCAGCACCCCTAAATGCTTTCCTGGAGCTGCTCAGGGTCTCTGGCTACTCTGGAGACACATCCTGAGCCCAAATCCTGTGTGGGGGTGAGACCAACCCTCTCAGAGGGTCCTGGTGCTGTGTCCTGAGCCCACCTTGCTCCGATCCACACTCGGGGGGGCCTTTCCCCCCATCTCCTCCCTGCTGGCACGGGGAATTCCAGACACCCCTAATGCCTCTCCAAAGCCAGTTTGGGGCACATCCTGGGGCCAAGACCCCTGTGAGTGGGGCAGGACGGACCCTCCTGCAGGGTCTCCGACTGCGTCCTGAGCCCACCTCGCTCCCCTCTGCACTCAGGGGGGTCAGGTCCTTCCCCTGCCCTCCTCCTGCTGGCACAGGGAATCCCAGCAGCCCGGAGCCCCCGGAGCCCAGCCCAGCCCCTGCATCCCCTCTCCACACACGCAGAGCGAGCGGAGCCGTGCCCGAGTTATTTCCGGATCCTCCCGCCCCTCGCTCCCGTCTGAGTCGCGTTTATTGTACCTTGCTGGAGATACCCTGGAGTGTTATCACATCCAACTCCTTGGAAACAGCGCTGGATTCCGGGCTGCGTGTGCATGTCTGCGTCGCTGGCAGGGCGCACGCAGCCACTCACCTTCCAGGAAGAGCAGATTCCTGGAAGGGAGGGAAACGGCCGTCATTTTACAGGCAGGAGGCACCGGGCGAGTGGGAACCGGGGCGAGGGCACGGGGAGAGGGAGCCGGAGGGGAGGGATGGCAGGTGGGCAGGGGATGCCTGAGGGGGCTCAGTGACCGGGCACAGGATCCCCAGCGCCGGAATGAGCAGAGGGAGAAATGTTTCCCCCCCAGGCTCAGCCACAGCCAGGATGGGCTCCGACCCTCCGGCATTGCCTGACCCGCAGCTCCAGGGAAGGAGCCAAAGGGGCTGGTGTGGACCCAGAGCTCAGAAAGTGTCCCTTCACTCCTTCCCCACACACACCTTGTCCACGAACGGCTTCGTGCTGCAGCTGAGAGGAATTTTTGAGGAGCTTCCCGTGGCGTGCACTCCCCACCCCACAAACAAAGCCCCTCCTGGCCCCAGGTTTATCCCTGAGGAGGAGATTTGGGCTTGCTGGCAAAGCAGCCAGGTGATGCTGAGAGCAGGAAGGAGCTCCTGTGCTTTCCTCCCTGATCCCAGAGACTGCCAGGCTCTGCAGGAGCCAATGGAATTAAACATTAAGGAGTTAAAAAAGGGAATTTCTCCTCAGTCCCTGCAAGCACAAAGCCGGCTCCTCTGCCAGCCAGCTTCATCCTCTGGATCCCTAAGGATCCTGCTGATCCCAAAGGATCCCCAGGCTCCTCCTGACTGGAAACACCACTGAGCTGATCCTTGGTGCCCAGCCCACCCCAAAACCAGGATCAGGCCAGGGCAGAGCTTCCTGGGGCAGGATCAGTGTCAGGGACCCCTGCCAGGAGCCCCCTCTGGAAAATCCCACACACACAGGGATGGGATTTTTCCCTCTGTGCAGCAGTGGGTCCAGCACCAGGGCCCCCGGGGATGGCTCAGAGCCCTGGGAATGTGGGCAGGCTGCACTCCCACCCCTGGGAGCAGGGGCTGCAATCCCCCCCCTGGGAGCAGGGGCTGCACTCCCACCCCTGGGAGCAGCCACCACCTCATTCCCATGGTCCCTCAGCAATTTCCCTCTCGGAAAACTGCTCAGACTTGGGATTTCAGGAAATTTTGGGGTCACGTTTCAGCAGTTCTAAAAAAAGAAAACTGGAAACCTGAATGTCAGGAGAGAGACGGCTCTGGAGCCTGGAGCCCAGTTACCCTGGTTATCCACGGAGCTGGGACAGGTTACCCTGCCCTCAGCACCCAAAAAGGGGGGGAATGGAGGGGATCTGGGCTGTTCTGGGGAGTGGAGCTGGGAGGGATGCCCTGGAAACATCCCTCGCCTTCCAACAGCCTCTGATGGGAGAGGACAGAGCAAGGGAGGGCAAAATTCCTCAGGAAATTGTGATGGGACAGGGATCTGATCCCTGCCTGCCTGCATGGGGGGGGCTCAGCTGGGAACAGGGACCTGATCCCGGGATGGACCCGGGATGGGCCAAGGGGCTCAGATGGAGCAGGATGGACCTGGGATGGGCCAAGGGGCTCAGATGGAGCAGGATGGACCTGGGATGGGCCAAGGGGCTCAGATGGAGCAGGATGGACCTGGGATGGGCCAAGGGGCTCAGCTCCCCCAGGCAGGAATGACACAAAGCACAGCAAAGCCGTTACCAGCACAGTCCAAAGGCCATTTTTTTGGGATGAGTATCCACAGCATTCAGAGCCTGAGGAGCATGGAGAGGCCCCTTCCCCACCTCCCCCTCGCTCCCACCCCCTCTGTGATAACTCCACCTCTACCAGAGCTGGTTCAGAACTGTCTTGGTTTCCTGGGAAGGATCCAAGGAGATGGAATATTTCTCACTCACGGAGTTTCCGGATTTTCGGTCCTTCACTCCTGACAAACAGGAACTTGAACCGTTCCCCTTCCCTCCCAACTCCAGGAGCTGCTCAAACCTGGAGTCCCACAGGGCTTCCAGCCCCAGAAGCTGGAATCCAGGAAGGATTCAGACTGTGCTGAGGGAGAAAAGGTCTCCATCCTCCTCCCAACACCTCCATCCCCTCTGTGCTGTTCATCCCAGCCCATCCCAGCTCCCACACAGATTCCTGCCTCTCCAGGGCCAAATTTAGTCACTGTGAGAGTTTTCTCTGGCTGTGCCACCTGTAAATCTCCACCAGCTCTTACTCTAATCCCGAGCAAAGATGGACAAACTGAGGAGTTCTCACTCTGCAAACACCAGTTCCCTGGAGATAAGGACAAATCCCACCCAAACAGCTTTCACCCCGTGCCCATCCCAGGTTTCTGCAGGACTATCTAAATCCCCTGGATCCTCTGGGATCCCCTCTGGAGCTGGGCTGTGACCCCCAGCACAAAGACCTCGTTTTCCTTTCAGTTTAACACAAAACCTGGGAATGTCCCCTACCAGCACCCACCAGGTGAAGGCACGAGGACAGGAACTCCAACGAGAACTTCCCGGGCTCCACCTCAGAGCTGGGAATTTTACCACCCTGTGGGAATTAACCCTTCTCAGATACTTAATGAAACTGGTGTTCCCAGCACTGCTCCTCAGTGTGTGATGGAACAGGCTGGGGCAAAGCCACGGAGCACAGGGCAGGAGGAGGGAGCTGAGCATCCAAACCCAACCAACCCAGCCCGGAAAGATCCAGCTTGGACCTACCAGGTATGTAGGCTCGCCCGTTACAGTCTTCTATATCCATCTTTGAGGGCTTTGGCTGGAAGAGAAAGCAGAGCCCAGTCAGGATCAGCCTCTGGAAGCTGCTTGGGTGTCTCCTCCTCATTTTATCCATGAAAAGAATCGGGATTTGGGGCAAGGAGAGAACACCAACACCCCGCAGGCGGCCTCACAATGGCCAACCCCCAATCCACCACCACCCTGAAATCCAAGGAAAATCTGCCATGTCCTGGTTTCCTGGCACCCCACAGAGACACCCCACACTTTAGATGCTCAAATGGCTTTTATGGATCAATCCCCAGCTGCCAAAACCCCAAATGAGCCCCGTTTTGGAGGCAGGAGTTGGGCTGTGTGCAGTTGCTCTAATTGGCTGTGGGCTGGGTCAGGAATGGAGCATTTGCTGTGGAGAACAATTAAACCAGGGACAATTTGGGAGATTAATTGTCTCCTTGATAAGGAAAGCTGACCTGCAGCAGCCCCCTCGGGGGTCCCTCCATCCCACAGAGCTTCCTGAGCCAACACAAATCCATCGTTCCCTTCCCAACCCGTAATTTAACATTAAACTGCTCCTGGATGGGTCAAACCCAGGAGTCTGGGAGGCACATTCCCAGAGCTGCTCCGGATCCGCAGCTAAAGAGGTGTCCTTAAGTGCCACGAGGCAGTTCTAGTTAGGGAGGGATTAGTTAATTAGTTATAGGGGCTGCACAAAATAAGGACAACACGGGCTGGTGTCGCAACACTGGCGCTGTTCCCACCCTGGCATCTGTGTCACTGGGGTGGGGGGGACACCCTGGGCTGAGGACAATCCTGGGGCTGAGGACAATCCTGGGGCTGAGGACAATCCTGGGGCTGAGGACAATCCCAGGGCTCAGGACATTCCCAGGGCTGAGGACATTCCCGGGGCTCATGACAATCCCAAGGTCCAGGACAATCCCAAGGCCCAGGACAATCCCAGGGCTCAGGACATTCCTGGGCTCAGGACATTCCTGGGACTGAGGACATTCCTGGGACTGAGGACATTCCTGGGACTGAGGACAATCCCAAGGCTCAGGACATTCCTGGGACTGAGGACATTCCTGGGCTGAGGACAATCCCAAGGCTCAGGACATTCCTGGGACTGAGGACATTCCCAGGGCTGAGGACATTCCTGGGGCTCATGACAATCCCAAGGTCCAGGACAATTCCAAGGCCCAGGACAATCCCAGGGCTCAGGACATTCCTGGGCTGAGGACATTCCCAGGGCTGAGGACATTCCCAAGGCCCAGGACAATCCCAGGGCTGAGGACATTCCTGGGACTGAGGACAATCCCAGGGTTGAGGACAATCCCAAGGCCCAGGACATTCCCAGGGCCCAGGACATTCCTGGGCTGAGGACAATCCCAGGGCTCAGGACTGTCCCAGGGTCAAGGACAATCCCAGAGCCGAAGACAATTCCAGGCAGCAAAAGCAGCCGAGCGCTCCGGAATTCCCCTTCCCGCCCCACAGCATCCATTCACTCCAGGAGCTGACAACAATTTGGGCTGGAATCTCCCTCCCCAGCGCTGGGTTGTGCAGGAATTGTGGTCTGAAAACGCATCCTGCAGCTTTATTTCCATGGAAGCCCTAATTTGGCTTCTCAGCCGCGCCGGGGGACCCGCGGGCTCGGCACGACGGGAACGGCAGCGCCGTGAGAAAGAGGGATTTCATTTGGGAAGTCTTCTCCCTCCTGGGCTCCACAGAAATCCCCCAAACCAGGAATTTTTAATTAAAAAAAAAAAATCTAAAGGCCAATTGTCTGTCTGAGGGGCGAACACGGCACGGGAAGTGCTGGCACCGCTCCCTCCGCTTCCCAGGGAAAGCAGGGAACAAGCAGGACCCCAGTCCATGGACAACGGGGAGTGAGAGCCAGGAATTCATTACTGGGTGAGTAATTTGAGAGAGAGCAATCGGAGGAGCTGGTTCTGTAATTCCTGCTCGGGCCACCCCACCAATGCCAATGGATAATGGGCAGGGAGAGATGGATTCCTCACCCCTTGGTATTTTAAGAGAACCCGGAAAAAAACACACCAGGAGCTCTTATTTCCACAGTTATTCTCCTTAATTTTGTCTGAGGCCTCCCGAGCAGGAATTGGGATTAAAAGCTGCAAATTCCCCAGATTCTCCCCAGCCCTGTGGCAACACCCAACCCCGGCTGGGAAAAGGCCCTGCCAGTTCCCCGAGCCCTCTGGATTTGGATGAGCAGCCCAAAAACCTGCGCAGGCGGACGGACAAACCCCCAGCACATCCCTGGGATGACGGGGCCGCTTCCAAGGACACGGCCCAGGCTCGGAGCTCCCCTCCCCACACCCCCTGGACACCAACCCACCCTCTCCCGGGGGGTCTGACCCGCTCCGGGGACAGGCACGGCCCCGTCTCCAACCTCCCTCCCGGCTTCCAGGTGGGATTGCCCCGGGAACTGGAGGCGGGAGCGACACAATTAGAGCAGCCTCTCCTTCCCACGGAAACCAGGACTTTTCCCCAGGTGGCAACAACTCAAGGAAACAGAAAAGTCCTCCAGAGCAGCCCCACTTAAATCCCCCCGTTACAGCAGTGACTGTCCTAGAACTGGGAAAAGCCTCTTAAATCCACGGATCCCCACCTGGATCCCCCTTTATTGTTCCCATTGTGCCCAAAGCGCCGTGAAAGGACTCCAAACACTCAGCCTGGGGACACTTCCCACCTCCAGACCCCCTAGACCCCTCCAGTCCCACCCCGGCAGGGAATCCACCAGCCCCGGGTGGGATCCCAACCCCAGCACCACGGAGGGAACTGCTCAGCTCCCTCCAACTCACACGGAACCGGCCTGGAACAGCAAATGCCCTCGGTCTGAGCCGTCCCTCTGCCGCAGGGATCCCTTCCCGGGACATCCCGGGGCAGGTCGGACCCTCTCAGCCAGGAAGACCCCTCGGGAGCGGTGGAATTCCTCCCGGAACACCTCCCAGACACCACCCCAGCCCTGTCAGTGCCGAGCTCTGGCTCCTGTCTCTGCGCTGATCCGCTGCCAGGCAGCTCATCCTGGCTCTGGAAGCACCAGGAAAATGTTTCTGGGACAAACACCTCCAAGCCCCCTCGGGTAGGAACCAGCAACCACCCGAAATTCCCTGTTTCCCTTCCCAAGCCCTGCTTCCGTTCAGCTGCAGTTTATTTTCCGACGTTGAGGACGTTTTTTCCACCTTTGCTGCTCCAAAACCCCAAAGGTTGTGTCAGTGGAAATGTTCCGGAGCCCATGGAAAGCCCCATCCCACCAGCATTCCCAGAGAAATGCCAAGGAAGTAGCTCTGCCAGAGCAGGGAAAAGGGAAAATAAAGTGCTGGGAGAGGTTTTACCCACGAGCAAACAGCTCCCATTGTTCCCATACTTTGAGGGATTTTACTAAATGAAATGGCACAGTGGATACAGGGGGACAGTCCCCCCTGACATTCCCAGGAAAGGCCTCCAGGGAATTCCCAGGTTGCTGTTTCAGGGATGGGGCAGAGCCCCCCCAGACCATCCCCGGTCTGTCCCATGGCTCAGCCTCCCCACGGAGCCTCAACCCCCAGGACAGGCTGACAAGGAATCCCACAATTATCTCGGCTGGGAAAGATCTCCAGGATCACCCACTCCAAGTCCACTCCTCCCTGACCCTGGCTATGGGCTGGGATCCTCTCCCACAAATCCCCCGCATTCCCAGGGCCTTTTTCCTGGAACCAGGCAAACACGGCTGCGAATTCCACCCTTTTTGTGGCTAAAGCAGGGAATGAAATTCCAGACAAATCCCAGCCCGGGGGTGGCCACGGGGCCCAGCTGCGGGCGGGGACTCCAGGCACTGCTTCCCATGGGAGCAGGGATGTTATTTTTCCCTAATACTCCCTGTTTGGAGAAGCTCCTCCCCGCCGGAGCAGCTCTGGCCGGACATCGGCCCTTCCCGGAGAAACCATCCCAAAACGGGGAACAACACGAAATTCCTCACTTTCGGCACGCTCCCAGCATCCTGCAGCTCCAGGGAAGTTCGGATTCCCGGCCAACCCGGGGGGATGTTTTCTGCCCGTGCCTTTGTCTGGGATCCAACCCCGGGGGCACCGCGCAGTAAATCACCCCGGGAGGGCTGGAAAACCATTCCGGGGGAGCCAGGGAGGGGGGAGAAGCTCCAGGACAGACAGACAGACAGGACGGAGCTCCGGCCTCACTCCCGGCTCCTCTGACGGGGGCTGAACTGGAGCTGATCCCCCGGGACCCAGAAACGACCGCCCTGCTGGGAGCTCCCTCCTCGCTCCCGTCCCGTGCCCCGGGATAACCCCGCCGTTCCCCCGGGATCGCCGTTCCCCCGGGATCGGGAGCCGCTGGCACCTTCCCCGGGGCTCCCTGGGCTCGGGTTTCCCGGAGTCCTTGGAAGCAAAAACCCAAGATGAGGCTAAAAATCCCTTTTCCTGGCTCGGCCTTCCCGGCGGGACACCGGGACACCCCCGGCCCCGGGGGGGGCCCTGGACCCCCCACCCCCTCCAAGGATCCAGAGGGTCCCACGGCAAAGAGGTTTTGCCTCAGGAGCTTTCCCAGGAGCTTCCTCCGGGAATTCCCCGGAGCTTTCCCAGGAGCCTCCTCCGGGAATCCCCCCGGAGCTCCGGGCAAGGGTTGGAATGGCCATGGGATAGTTTAGGGGTCGGCACAGGGGGAGGGTTCCAGTGGAACAGGGTCGGGAGCATCGGGATGGGGGGGTTATCCCATCCGGAGCCACGTGCTGCCCATCCCGGTGGATTCCAGAGCCTCCCTGGAATCCCCCCTGCCCGGGGGGATCAGCAAGGGGGGAAGGGGGGGTCAAATCCCAGCGTCCCGTGCCAGGGACAGGGAGGAGACTCCGGCATTCCCGGGCTGGAATTTCCCCGGGCTGGAGGGGAAAACTCTGCCCGGGAAAAGCAGCCCCGGAGCCCCCCGGGCAGGAGCGT